TGCTCTGGCACGAGACTGGTAGGTCCTGGGTTCGAATCTCGCGAGGCGGGATCATGGATGCGCACTGCTGAGGAGTCCCATAATAGGACGAAAAAGGTCGTCCAGTGGTCCCAGGTTTTTCATGGTGGTCCAGCTTCAATTGACTCATGATTTTAACTATGAATATACTGAAATCTCCATAAAACCCCCTTCTGATTTCAGTATCCTGCCTTATCTCTCATAGATCATTAGAGCTTTAATTGTCGTTACAGCTTTCATCTAAATTATTTTAAACTAATGTAAAGAAAATTTACTTGGTATTTTTTGTTTGAATCTTCCCATTGATGTTTAGGACTGCAACTGGTCAGTCTCTAATTGGCATATGTGCTAACTGCGCGTATTGCCTCGATATAGCCTTATTTCACAAGCATTGTAAGCAAAGATGGATATTGGCTAGCAGTGGAATACAGGACGCGCGTCTCGTCCTATTTGGGACTCGTCAGCTGGAAATAAATGATGAATTACAATACATTCTAAACAATTTATTAACTTATCAATATACGTAAACCACCTTGTAAACTATGCCTTCATTCAGAATGTGTTATTTATAGAAACTATAAAACTTGGTAATATCTTACTACTGAAATGATTAAATTAAATTTTAAGTTTTCTAAAACATTTAAAAAAACAATTTAAAATGTAGAATTGTTACACCCAGTTACAAGTTTCTAAATTGTTAAAATAAGCTGTCTGTTGAGTATCAACTTAACAGCAATAAAATACTTGAATATTGTGAGTTGCTTTCAAATTAAATATGTAGAATAAATACTTTAGGCGAACTCATATATAGTATTCACCAATTTTGGATGTCATTCACTTGATATTAGGCTATATCAAAAAAAATTTCCATAGAGATATACTACTGACTATCTTTAACGAACGATAATATCCCGTGGAAAACATTGAAATAGAAACTTTTAAATTAATCTAAGGTGAATAATTAATAGAAACATAATCATAATGTTTAGATATTACTGCAGTTTGTAAACTCTCAGTTATTGATTAACAAAAATGACTGGAATAGCAGATATTTTTAATACAGTAAGGTTGACTACATTTATTTGTATAATTTCAGTTAGAAACAAAATGTTTTATTAAATAGTAAAGTTTATTTAGTGACTTAGGCTTGGCGTTGATTCCGTTTTTTTGTTTGATAGTGTTTTATGCACTCAGTTACACGCGAATTTTTACATCACTTTACCTGTCTGATTATAATATGATGGGTAAGTCTCTATATAGGTGTAAGTGCATCCAACATACAGATGAAGTAAATTATTTGTGGTTGATATATATTATCAAGTAAATATATCACCAGTCTAATTGATAAAACAGAACTAACATACTAAAAAGTGAAATCTATATTTAAATTATTCATTAATTATAATCAATGGGATAAAGTAATTCTGTGAAGTTTAGCTTTTTAAAATGATAATCCATGTTTGCAACTTCAGGTTGATTCTTTTATCCTGTTTGAAATGAGTAAAAATGATGTTTGGTTGACTAAATTTCTCCGTAACTATATTATTTGTTTAGAAGTTTATATTATTTGTATACACTTTTCATCACAGACTAATATCAACTGATAAACTGTAGAGTACTGGAAAACTGTTTTATTCTAGTTTTTAACTTGCCAACGACGTGCGTTCACAACGCCCTCACATGAGACAGAACCTTATTTATTGAAAGATCTCAAAGATCACGGCACCTTTAGATTACATAGTAAGGATTCAACGGTTCACCTCCTTGATTTACCATTATTATGATATTCCACAATTCTCAATGAAGATCATTGGATCTAAATTTTATGGTTCTTATTTTTAATCTTCAGGATCCTACCTTTACCTACCTGTGACCCATTTCAGTAGTACCTCCGGTGATATTAATCTATGACATGAACCAACCGCACCATTAAACCAGCTTCTGTATACCACTAGAATAAACCATGATTGTGTGCTCAATATTGACTTTATCATGAAGTTGAGAGGCTTTTGCGAGAATTTGAAACTAGTTGAGTTCACATTTGTCAAAACTGAGGTAACTACCCGTCAGTGTTGTCGAGTAATGCAGCGTTACTCTACGAATTGATTAAATTTAGAATATAGATCATTGAATTTCATGTCAGTAGGCTTAAATGTAAGCGCTTGCCGTTTGAAAGTCTCGTGTTTCATTCTAGATGGTGTCATATGACTATAATCCTGTAAAGTTTCATGCTTCAATAAAACACCTCCCCGGTGTTGAATAGTTCATAGGGGTTTTGCAATTGACATCAATCCATGACTAAAACTGATTTCATGTTGCAGATATATTACTATAGAAGAAAATATACTTATATTATTTAAGCTGACTTGTCATCTTAGTGATTAGTCAATGTCACTGTTGCTTAGATGTATCTGATTTTGTAGTGAAAATAATTGTTTCGGGACGAAATTTGCAATGTAACTTGATTTTACTTAAATAACAGTTCTGTAAATTATTAGAAAGGGGTTTTGTGGAGATTGTAGTAATTTAATAGTTGAATTCGTGAGTCACCTGAAGCTAGACCACCATGGACAACCTGGAAGCACTGGACGGTCGTTTCGTCCTAGTATGGGACTTCTTTGCAGCGCGCATCCACAATCCTGCTCGCGTGATTCGAACCAAGGACCTTCGGTCTCTCAGTATTAGTACATTGCTGGTATGGAATTCGACGTGGCTTTCATACTAAGTGAAATATATGTAAGGTTATTGTTTAATTTCATTCATAGTACAGAAAAGTATAGCACGTTATTAATCAGTGACATTCATAATGGATTCGAAATTATTAACTACAAACTGAAAATCTCGGCTTATGAAACTTTACTTTGCTGTTTGCCGATTCGCGACTAACTGTCCTGTTAAATACATTTATGCATATATTTCATACTATATCATTTTTTTCAGGACTCGATTGCTTAGTTTACTATGTGAGGATAACATACCTAAAAGTTTCATTTTATGTATGAACGTCACTTTTATATCAGTGGTGTCGGTTTCAAGTCCAAACGGTTATACATTTATAGACATAGATACTATAGGTGAAATTCATCTATGAAACACTAAATCTGATATGTCATTGATTTTTAACTAATAGCATTATATTATTATAAGCTAAACGAAGTTTATTAGTTATTCATAAACTAAATTACATGACTCCTATTAAAAAGTTTATTAGCTGTCGGATTATTTATTTACAAAAGCGACTACTGAAAAAAACATGTCTCTTTATTACTAACCACATTCGACTGAACATCATCATCTTGCTGTATGAGTTGGATCCTATCTAAGGAGCTCATTTATACTAATTCTCAAGCTTACTGAAACTTCAGACAATGAATGATTTTCATTTAGAATGATATTTAATAATGACTTTACTTCAAGCTGTTCAGTATTATTCAGAATATGGCATAGCGATTCGTTATTTAATTGAGAGATATACTATAACTGCATATATTTCAAGATAATCATGATGTAAAAAATGATATTTGTGTTTTAAAGTTAATTGAGTTATTAAGGATCGATTAATATGTTCAAAGTTCAAATTTAAAATGAAAAAAATCTAAAGTTGCACTCACTGACCAACTTAAGTGTATACTATGTCGGTCACATTAAACCAAAAAATAAATAAAACCTTTTCCAGTTTCACACCTTTCTAATTCTCGTCAATATTTCACTATTCATAAACAATCTGGAAATGCACAGTAGTTTCGAAAATGCAATTAACATTTACCATCATAATTCTCATACATAATTAAAGTGATGTTAATCAATAGGACGAAGTATATGTAGTTTAAATGTAAATGTTTATATTTCATCAATGTTCTGCTCTACATCATGTCCAATCCTTGGTATGATGCATATTCTGTTCTCTGATATTGATGTTGAGCTCTGATAGTGAAATTTATTGGATGATTTACGCTTCCTGAATCTCTGACTAGCTAACCGCTCCAGAGAAAAGAATGAGACATGTGGAAAGCTGTATTTCAACATTCTGAAGGTATGTGAACAAGAAATATGCGTTTTTGATACCAGATTCGTTCAGTCAGGGATATTCGGGTGGTGAGCTAAAACGGACGAATAAAACAGTCATTCACTATGGGCTTTCTACATTTTCACTTTATACTTACCATCCATATATATGAGGACACATGATTTATCTGGGACTGGGAGATATAACAGTTCATTATCAACAAACTCACCAACATATAATTACTGAACTCTGTATCACAGTGGATAGTACACCGGCTTCTTAAAAAGTAGATGGTGGGTTTGAGTTCCAGTGTTAAAAAAAACAGGGTTCGGGTGTGCACATCTGAAGAAACCCACATAAAATGGAACGAATGGCCAATATTCCGCTTCTGGCAGTTATTTAAAAATACTTAATCAACTTCTAGCTACAGAAACTGCTCAAGATATTTATATATGAACAGAGACTGATCATTGCAGCTTGAAAAGATCATGCGATATTATAGTGAGATGTTATTTCTATTCTTCATCAATAGAAAAAATCAATCGGGCAAGCTAGTCTTTTGGTTATGTATAAGTTTAATTTTGTAAGGGGGAAAAATTAAAACCTTAATGGGACGTTGACTCTGAAACTAATAACGGTGGACGGTAGGGATAGAATTGATTAATTTCACTTAGGCGTACTTCACGTTGATTAGGATTGTCTAAAATACTTTAGACATACTGCCAAAGCACATAAGATGACACTGACAGATGAAAAACAGTTTTACCTATTTTTATACTGATTTGTAAGCAGTCGGATTCACATTATTAACTGAATTTTATAATATTCAGAAAATGGGACTGTATCTCAAAGTCGGATACTTTACGGCACAATATTTGTTGAAATGTGATCTAATCATAGTTCAACCCTTTATAATTGCCATTTCTGGTGGGGGCGGGGGACAGGTAATGTTGTTTTGACTCAGTTGATAGAGCGTATGTCTGTAGTTCTGGTGCTCAAAAAATCGACCGATAGGAATCAATCAACGATATCTGACAAATTTTTAACTTTACTTAATCATTGGTGAGTTAAAATAAATTGGACGCTTTATATTTACTCTTTGTCTGTATTCATATGTATTTTAGGATTAATCTATAATTATCTGCCACACATGTCATTAGGCACGGTTTCTGAGATGATTAAGTGTTTACGTATTCACTACTGTTACCTATAGTATTATTGTTGTATATTAGGAATAATCAACACACAACAACGCACATTTGAAAATATGTAGCTATATTTTAACTTCAGCAAAAACTTGGAACATTTTGACGATAAACATATCACAGTAACAAAAAATGTAAATACCTTTATCCAAGTATTATATTACCAGTTTCAATTCTACAATCTTAATTTTATACTCTTTAAAGAATCATTTTGGTTATTGATCTATCAGTTTATTATGCAAATATGTGAATAGATGAGATCATTCTCCTGAAATTATTAGAAAAAAAGAATACAATATTTATACAGTATATAGTGAAGTTTGAAAAACAAATATCTTGGTTGCGAAAAACTTGTAGCAGCTTCGTTTTGTATGTTTCTGATAACATTTTTAAAGTTTTAATATAAGTGTACATTTTATTTGTTTGTATATATTAGAAACAAAAGACTTTTTTTCTACTTCGTTCCGACTATTGTTACCCTGCTTGTATGTCTGCTTCAAATGGTGCTATCTCGTATGCGTGTGTTAGCCTTTTATTATCACGAATTCAACTGTCATTGGTATATCGCCATCTGGCTCAAGTGATATACATGGATAGAGAATACCTAATATATTTAAATTCAGATAAACGTACCACATAGTCAACAACTTCAGGATTTCAAACTATAAATTTTTTCTTTGTAGGGTATCAAAATTGACTTTCAGTTGTATTTTATGAATGAAAACCATATATATATAAATGAAAGTTTAAATCAATCGTTGACCACAAAGCAGTTTGAAATAGTTAAGCGCTGTAATCATTTAATTATTTTCCCGTCAAGTATATTATATAGAATATCAGTTTTTATTGTTCTGTTAAGTAAAGGATTATTCTGTTTGATATCAATTGTTGACAATTAACATATTCTTCAACAATAATGTAATTGGTAACGAATAGGGACTTAAATTTTAATCAGAAGGGGTTTTGTGGACATTTAGTATTTTCATAGTTGAAAGCATTAGTCAATTGAGGCTAGACAGTCATCAAAAACCTGGAAGCACTGAATGGCCGTTTCGTCCTACTGTGGGACTCCTCAAAAGTGCGCATCCACGATCCCTCGCCAGGACCTCCCAGTCTCGCGCCAGAGCACTTAACCAATAGACCCTTGAGCCGGCATCCGATTAAATTTTCTCAAATTTTATTTTTGTTTATTTTGGCAAGTTCTCATAACTTATGACAATGCAACATTGATAAGTGAATTTACTGAATATTTCATAATCTGTATGTCAGCACATTTATCACATGTTATGTGATTTTATAATGACTAGCTACATTGAAACTTACTGGAACTTTGTTAAGGATAATTAAATGATATAATATGTTTATCTGTAAGGCTTATTTTATTGTTAACACAATTAAATTTCCAGCCCCCACAATTTATTACATTTTCAAATATAAAAACAACAACTAGTTTGTCGTTTTTCACTGGTACCCTATGTGATGTTAGCTCGTCGTGAAAACCACGTGAAAACGAAACAAGTCTCCACAGACCTCTATAACTATAATACTGTGCTCATTAGTATCTAAATTTGAAATGTTTTAACAAAGTTCTTATGGGAAGTCGTGTTTAGTAAAGCTCATTCACATCGTGGGGCAGTCATCCTCGATGGGATTGAATGACTACTTGTCTGTGACGCGAAACGACTGACATTAAAAATATGGTTAACTGGACTTCAACTTACTGGTTGAGAAATAACGTACTTACCTCACGACTAGTCATTCCCAAGTTGGATTCCTCGTGGTTCCATGAATGTGAACTGTAGTACAGACTAAAATTAAATTACTTGAAGGTTCACTGAAGTCAGTAAAATGGCAAACGCTCAATGTTTCTTGGGTTTTTTTAGTTCAGTTGAAATAAGTTAGTTTTAAAATAACTTATAAATTGTATAGATTGTTTGGACAAAATAACGTCCAGAAATAGTGATCATATGCCCAATGTTTATCATTTTCAAGGTGGATTTTTCCAAGCTCAATTCACAAGCCAAGACTTGGCGTGACAACCAATTTCCAGATAAAATAGTTATTCACAGATTAAATAAGAAGATAACTGTGTTTTATTTGGGGACTGACAAAAATTTAATATGTTAAAACTCTGAATAACAACTAAGGGGTTGTGCTGGCTGCTATACTTCAGGGTTAATTATTCACGAGTGGGGACTGTTCACTAGTTTTAAATGATTGTTACCAGATATCAGTTTGGAATAATCACTAATTTAAAATAACATTCAGTGTTTTCATAAAATAAGTCATCTGAAAATAATATTATACATATTTGCATATGTATATACCATACAGATGTGCTTTAAAACATCACTTCGGATTATCCTTATTCAAAAATTTCGGTTAATTTTCTGTACATATAGTGGATGGGTATTGGATATTAGAGTGTATGTTTCATCAGAGATCTCATTTCAAGCCCTAATTTATACTATATATGTGAATTTCATCCGACATTTCATGTTGTATTTTATCGGACACGCTTATGCTAGACAGTTGCAGACAACTCTAGTGTTCTTTGAAATGAAATATTTAGTGGAAATTATACTATATCATATGGCACCTACCGAGTTAACGTAAGAGAAAATGGCCGAAATCTCCGAATATTACACAGTCAGCGGGAACAGTAAACGCTTAGGATAACACCAACAACAGAAACATCTACAGTTTAATTTTCTTTTTTTCTTTCTTCGTTATCTTAACAATTTGTAAGTTTAGGCACATATCAAAAGTAAATAAAAGGTTTCCAGGAATAGTCATGTCATTCACTAAATAAATAAGTATCTTTAACAGATTAAACAAACAAGAAACATTTGTAAAGAAGTGTTAAACTAATGAGTAGAAGACCTAGAAATTATTTATTAGGTTTATAAAAATTAATACAAATACAACATTAAAAAACCATGCTGTCAAGTTGAACAACGAGATAATGAATGGAGAAATGCAGTTTTCCTGTTCGCTGAAATTACGTGCAAATATTTCATATATATATATATATTCCGACCATTGCTGCTACCTTGACGTGGTGGTCGGGCTTGCCTATCGTGATGAACCAATCGAGCTATACTGGCTGGAACAATCGTTCCTCAAGGTCCTACCATGTCAGGCAGGTCGGTTGAAGAGCGGTAAGACTAAAAGCAGCAAACCCAAGGTCCGAAGGCGGAGTCGTACTGCTGACTGTACAGAGGTGTGAAAGCAGTAAGGTGTTCCCTTCAGACAACCAGCATGACAGCGATGCTGCCTTCCCACAAGGAGGGGTGGGGTTAGAAAAGATCGACCCTAAAATTGCACACCTCGCCTTATCCCACGGATTTCCGTCTCCGGCGATAAGGTCTCAACAAGTACGGAACTAACACAAAAACTACCCACAAAAAGGTCGTGTGTGACCGACCTCAAGCAGTTGTCCCTTGGGCACTGCGGTCACGCTCTCAGGTCATTAAGACCACTTCTAACCCAATTTCTTTTTCAGGTACCTTTAGAAGAACCCTTCCACGGTGTGGGCAACCGGGAAGTGATAAGTGTCCTCATACCTCTAACAGCCCTCAAGATCACTGATATATATATATATATATATATATATATATATATATATATATATATGATTTTTTTTCTCATCTCAAAGTAACATTACCTTTTCATCACTAATTTCAACAAATTTATTCACATTAAAAAGAAATCAATATAAATTAGCTTTATACATTATGTCTCTTTGAATAATTAAGGATTACATTATATTTTGCTTTGATAAATTAAGTTCAGTTTAGCTCATACGTATTATTCTATAAATTATAAATGTGAGGTCTTTTTTTCTACGAAACATGTAAAAACATGTTTCCACTGAATCAATCAACGATTGTGATTCGAATATGGAAAATCATTACTTAATATAATACTATCATTAAGTTAGTATAAGTAGATTACAACATTGTAAGGTATTTTTTATGTTTTGTGATTGAATCGTCAATCAATTTATTTGATTATATATTCACATCATCTTAGAGTAGAAATTTGATATGATGCCTAACACTCTCTTTTTATTTACATATTTCATCTTTTCTCTCTTAGATACAAAAATTATAAAAAATATTCTTTATTATTTTTTAACATTTAGCTATGATTATCTACTGCTATAATCTTCTATGTTGGCTTTCACGTATTTCCTAATATGGTATGGTATGACAGTACTTATTTCAATAGTTTATTCAGAAGATAGAGGTCACTAATGGAGATTTGTATTATATATTTTGATAGATGTACATTAGAGCGACATAGTTGTTAGTGTAATTATTTATTTGGAAAACCACTGATATGGGAATTAACCTTGAAACTATTTATTTGTCATAACAGAATTCTAGACATTGGAACTCCTTAGATTGACGATGTAAATTGTGTTAGAAGTAAATCCAGAATACGTGTATAGCAAATAACCATATAATTCAAATACTGTTCAAAATTCATCTTTCAAAGTTAGAATTTTAACACTTTCAACTTAAGGGACTAAATATAATCCCTTAAAGTCACTGTATTAATTATCGAGATGCATCAATCTAAACTCATTAAAGATAGCTAGGTTACGAGTATCTGTGATCAGCAGTTTTAAAAAAATCTTCACTTATAAGAAAAATTATGAGTGAGGCAGTAGGAAAATTAGTGCAAGTACGTTAAAATATCTTTTGAAAATGAAATTGTCCAGTGACGCTATACAGAATGAGTTGAAACTATGAAGATCGAAATTATCTTGTTTTTTGGTTTTCCAAAGTATCTCTTCTACGGTTACCACCAGGTCTAACCATGGATATAGAAGGAAGGTTGGGTATGGAGTTAGTAGAAAACAACTTTGGTACAAAACACTACAATCATAGAAAAATCATTTTAACCACTTAATTTCTGCCTTCCGAGTTGAAGGAACTTCATTTAGAAGTGTTACGAAAGCCTAGATTCTTAGAAAATCACGATGCTAATGGCCCTTCTAAAACCCGTATGACAATAATATTAATTCATAGAATGCCAGAAAAATGTGGAAGACTTGGAGGACCAGACAAATAGTTTCAGAAATTAGAAGATACAACTAGGCGGTCATCGGAATCAGTGAAACCCATTGAACCCAAGATGGATGCAGCTAGACGACTTAAAATTTGCTTTTCTATCCTCAACAAACGCAAGTGAAAAAGCGAAATCCTCAAATACAACAAAGAGAGTCACATTTGATGGAGAAGCGCTGAAAGAGGTAGAATCTTTCACGTACCTAGTTGGCATCATCAATGAACGTGGAGAATCTGATTCAGATGCAAGGTCGAGGATTGACAAAGTAAGGACAATGTTCCTACAATTGAAGAACATATGGAACTCAAAACAACTGTCAACCAATATCAAAGTCACAATCTTCAATACGAACGTCAAGACAGTCCTACTGGATGGGGCTGAAACTTGGAGAACTACCACAACCATCGCCAAGAGAGTACAAGTATTTCTAAACAATTTTGTACACAAGATACTCAATGTCCGTTGGCCGATTACCATTAGAAACAACCTACTGTGAGAGACGACAATCCAGTTTCCATCTGAAGAGGAAATTAGGAAAAGACTCTGGAAGTAAATAGGACATACATTTCGTAAATCATCAAACCGCAAGTGCTAATTTGGAATCCTGTGAAGAAATTGAAAAGAGGAAACCAAAGGAACACATTTGATCGAGAATCGAAGTCATACATCAAGAAAATGAATATCAACTGTAAACAAGTGTAAAGTGTACTGAAGGACAGGGTTGTATGGATAATGATGATGGATGTCCTATGCTCTTCCACGAGGGTTAATAGGCGTAAGTAAGTAAGTTAGCGCAGTTTGGAAAATGTAATATTTCTGATAAATTAGTGGTTTATTTGAATGACTTATTATTAATCACTATGAATTCATTGGAAAAATCATACAAATTCTATCCGCTATTCCTTTTTATCGAAAAAATGTATTCAGACAACACTTACCAACCCATACTACAGATTTACAATCTCTACTTGAGAGTGTGTATATCGTAAAGAATCATTTGGATCCGGTGTTAGTATCTGTCTTTATGGTGCGACTAAAATATATGAAGTTAGTTCATGCAGTGTCTTGATGTCATGTGGTCAAATGCAATTGGAATAAAACTCTTAGTCTTGGTTTTAACTTCGTCGTTACTCGTCAATTCCGTATTTACTAACTCTTCACTTGCCTCACTGTAAATCCTTGATATTCTTGTACTATTAAAATACAGTAGGATTAATTCTTGCAGGTCTATATACATGTAGTTGAATAGACATCATAATGAGATAACTGTCAACTTATATTCATATCAGTGAAAGTAATCAATAATAGAAATGCTAAAAAGAATAGTTCGGATGACTTTTGGATCAGAAAAAGTTACAGTTTTGAATAAAATTCTACTAATCAAAGTTCATTTTTATTACTAATTCATTTTTCTTACATTTCATACACTGATCATTCAAGGTAACCAATAACAAAATAAAAAGAGTGCTAAACTACAACCATAGTATCACCTTAGTAATCAAATATCCAATGAGATTAATTTATTTCATAATAAAGAAGGTATGAAATCCTGAACTGTGTTGATCCAATGTTGAAATATCTATAAATGATTGTATACATATATTGAAAAATAGATTTGTTCACTTATTTTTCACAATCTTTTAATTCAAATAATGATGAACGTAATATTGTTTCTTACTTTATCAAATATATTTGTCTTTAACTCTGCACAACATCAAATAAACTTACTTAGTGAAATAGTACAATCACGATGTACTCAGTGGAAGGTTGAACATGGAGCTACTAAGTAAGTTTGTTTGGTGTCATTATTAAAAAACCCACAATAACTGAATATTACAGTTTTTCGAAATAAAATAACATTGTTATGAATATCATAGTTATATAAGACAGTCATACGTTATATACGAAGATTGTTAATTACTGTTTCTTATGATCTAAAAGTGATTTTGACCGGACAAAACATTTTATGGGAAACAACTAAGGATTAGGTATTAGCGGACATTAGTTTCTTTCTGGTTTGATACTTATCAGAAGTTACCACCCGTAGCGATATGTTAGCGATATTTAAAACCACATAATCTGATTGTAAAAATTTAAATTCGCATCTCAAATCAGAATGCGCAATGTAACGTGATATCTATGTCATTCATGGTAACGTCATTATTTTCTTGACCAGAACTTTCTGGAATCAGTTACAGGGATCTTTTTAGTCACCAGATATATGTGCTAACTCTATTTTGATACAACTACGCAAACTAAAAAGGGAACTATATGACAGTCCGTAAAATTTGATGGATCTTATTTTCAGTAAATTTGTTACGTATTATGGCTCTTTGGAATTTTAACCATTCACACTGTGTGACATGTTTATAAATTATATCAACTATTAACGTTACACATATTATCGAATAAATTTTGAGGATATGATTACTTTATTGGTTTATTCTGTGAGTGTAAATGAATATGACATTTGAACTGTAAGCATACCTTTCAGTAGAACTATTTTTGAAAACAATGAATGAAGAAGTACAACACAAATCTCCAATATACTTTTTTACCAATTCCATTTTGTAAAGTCATTTTTCCCTAAGTTTGTCAAAATTCGTTATTTCATCAACCAAAGTTAATTGTGTAAATCAGTGATCATATAGAGGCCTGATTATTTCGATTTAAAGCCATTCACTTCATCGTGAATGTTATTAATACTATTTACTTTTTCAGGTAGCATTATAAATTGACTAAAAGTTTGAATTTATCACCCTGATACAAAAAGCCAAAGCCTTTTGATCACTGAACTATCGATTCACTTTTATAATTGATAGCTGAATTTTAATGCCCTTGCAAAACTTATTTATATTTTAAATTTGTCGAATAATTAGTAATTAGCAATGAAAGTTGTGGTTTATATCATGAACTAACCTTGATTAGATAATTATTAAAAACTAGGAGGTACTGGACATTTATTTCAACATTGAACTTAGTAGTGAACATTTGAGAACCCAACACGAATTAGATCTAGGATCTTTAAGCCTTGAGGCTAAAAGGTTAACCTTTAGATCACTAAGTGGAGCTACCACAGCTGACGTATCCCATGCAAGGATGGAATAGTTGTATAAAACTCTACAATTTTCAATGGTTGTTTAGTTAGAAATATTTTATAACGTTAATTAAAACATTTAACTATTTCCACAACTCAGTCAGTCAGTCACAACGTAGAACTTCGTACATACGTACATCAGTTCCACAACTCTCTTATTTTTAAAAATGTTAATAAAAACGGAATTATACTCTGTCCATTAATTATCCTAATAAATTTTATAAATGTTTATCTGAATTAATTTAATTTATTATTTCATATAAAAAGTATAAGTTGTAGTGAGATCTGGAATTCATTTGAAAGCATTTTACTTTCAACTCATACTAAATCAGCATGTATTATGAAATCAGGGTTATTCGATGACTTTGTTTATCAATTGTTTGAATTGGAACAACAACAACAACAACAGCGACACCACACAATTCAAACGGAAGTAAGTTTAATTATATTCAATAATATCAGGTATTATCTATTTTAAAATAATAGTTTACAGTTAGACATTGATACTTTACATGAAATAATGATATTTAGTAATTTAGAAATGTATATAAACAATTAAAGGACCCTTGAGTTTGATATTTATCGAAAAAAAATGTTTATTAGTTAAGTAAAGATTAAATAAACTATTTCAGTAAACTCATGATGTACTGACAATAATTGTGGATGTACTAGGGTAGTGAATGAGAACACGGGTGGGGAAAATCGAATGTATTTAAACACAAATTACAGACTATCTCACTAAATTCTGATAACCATACAGTAAATAGTTAATTTGTAAAATAACAATCTATTGTCTCAATCTTAACTGTTCCTTTTGTAGATATCAGCCCGTCTTCTCTGATTTCATTGTTCATGCATTTTCCTACCGATTGCGTTTCATTCCTGTTCTTTCCTTATCGGTCTTCTGCCAAAAAACATTCTATGTCTGACCATCACCATATACTACTTATGTGGATATAAGTAAACCATACCACACTAGTATTTTATGAGCATTACTAATTTTAAATTATATTTCTATGAGAAACACTTTAGCATTATTTCGTTGGACTTAAATTCATATACGAAATCTTCATGTTATTAAGGTAAATATATTATCACCAAGTGTCTAGGTTTCTTTTCCAGTCTAAATCATTAAAATCAGTTACGTATATTTGATATGTGGCTAGCACTTCGATCCCGGAATCACGTTTCCTCCTGTTTGGAATTCTTCAGCTGGACGTACGTAGATTACAGTTTTGATATTTGTAGTGAAACGATTTGGGTTCAGTTGTCTTTCGGATAACAAGTTTTGATTTCGAAATAAAAACTGTACCCTGGATTCCGCTGTTAGCCATATGCTAATACCAATAACCTGATAACTCGTCAGATCAATGACAGGGTTCTACATTAAATGTTTTATTGAGTTGACACGGTTTACTTTAAAATCTAGATATGGTAATCTGGTAGGTGATTTACGAATCTACACAAGTAGAAGTTAGATAGTACGAAGCAAGTATTAATATTTAAATAGAACGAGCGAAGACTTATTTTCCATAAATTCTGTATACTCATCAGACAAATCAAATAGTTCTATGATTGATTTGTAGACACACACTGAATCACTGGTAGACCAGATTACAGAAGCCAAGTATTGATTGATTACTATTTACTGAATCAAACATGTCATACATGAAATTTAGACTAAATATGATTCAGTAAAACAGTAATTCAAAAAACCACCGAGTCGAAGAATTTTTTCCTGGTTGATACACTGACATCTAACACTTAGTATTTAGAGCACTATCTGTAAACTTCTCCATCAATAACTGATATTAAAATAAACGAACAATTGTACAGGATATTGTTTTTCTGTAAAAATTATGAGCTACAACTGGTTGTATGGAACAACAATTGTTTGTAACTAACAGATTACGGAATTTTTTTGTTATATCATGTGATGTGTGTACGTGCCCTGTTTAATATATGACATGATAATTCCTGCCGATCAAAGAGGAGTGAATTATCGATCAGAGCAATGATACACAAAAACCATATGAGTAGTCTTGAGTACTTATCAGTCCTGCTTTCTTCCTAGCCCAGTTAGTTAAGTCCAGAACACCAATAACAGCCTCTGCAATGTAAAATCATTATTCTCAAACATATTGGGTTTATATACCAATCAAACAGACCACATAGTACCATAAAATAGAAAATGACATTTGTACAAGATTAGGCCAAATGTGACTGTGAATAGGGGGAATAGGAATCAATGGACTAGGGATAACTCAAGAATGGTTAATCGTATGATAATAGTCTATAGGTCAAAATAAAGCTTATAATAAGAGGAACACGAATACGAATATTTTAGTTACTTAACAATTATACAATAGGAAATATACATATCATATTGGTCCATAAATAGTTTTCAAAGTTACCATTCATAAATCTCCACGGGATATAACATTATTCAATAATGTCTAACAAATAGCATTGTTACTTCTTAATGCGACAACTACACCATCTTTTGCTTTAACCACGATATACGTAAGACTGTTCAACTGAATCAATCAAAATGAATAAATAAGCTCCATGAAATTGTTTTTTGGTAAGAATAAATAAACGGTGGTGGTTCCAAAATTTCAATATTGTTGACAAATGTTTTGAATATCAACTAAGAATGACGTGTATAAAATGTCACTTATGTTTAAATTTACATATATCTTATAAAAACGTTAATATCATATTTATGAATAATATAATTTTCAATTTAAATTGTTAATTTATATTTTAAGCAATACTTCCATTCTCAAGTGATGAACATTATTCGTGGAATGTGTAAACGTCTTGGAGTATGTCGTTCTCTAGAAACTACATTTCCAGGTTGGGCTTACAAACGTTTTATAATTTACTTGTATTCACCTTATTTCAACATACTAACTTAGAAGAAAATATTTTTTTATTATCCATATTTAAGTCTCTTAAATTTCCGTGCCAATTATAAATTATTAAAACTTTGACTTTGATACTGTAATAGTATTAGTCATAAGGTAAATCGAAAGTTTTTTGTTCTCAGTAAAATCCTAAATCTCAAAAGATTTAGTTACCGGTTGAAGTATTTCTCTTCTTATACTATTTGGCCGTGTATGATTAACTATAGAATCTTCCATTTTATGAATGACATTGTTAGAAAAAAAATATTAAAACTAATACAATGACTGTAGGTCATTAAAATACGTTTCTTTTTTTCGCAAAAAAAAACAAACGCGTTCTAGTCTTAAAAAGCTATTAAACTTTAAGAATAATTTTCAAAGAATATATTCATATGAAATATATTAGATTCTTAGAATATTAGTTCATTTAAAAACAATATACTGTCTATATATACTTAATGTGTGTTAATCCGAGTTTTTTATACTAATGAATACTTCAAATATCTTGAATGAGAACATAAACCTGATGATGAAAATGACTGAAACTAATGTATTAATGGAAAATAATTTACATAGTTGAAAGTATGAGTCAATTGAAGCTAGACCACCAAGGAAAACCTGGAAGCACTGGACGGCCATTTTGTCCTACTGTGGGACTCCTCAGCAGTGCGTATCCACGACCTCGCCTCGAAAGATTCGAAGCTAGGACCTAACAGTCTTGAGAGCGAGCACTTAACCGATAGACCACTGAGCCAGCATCTGATGGTGTGGTCTAGATTCAATTGACTCATGCTTTCAACTATGCAAATACTGAATCTCCACAAAAACCCCTTCTGAAAATAATTTAGTTTAAATTTGTTTCGATAACAAAAAATTCTAGATATTAGTAATATGTGGTGAAGTAATAGGATTCAAAAATCTTTGACTATAGAAAGAATACTCAATAAATTTTTTGATTAAACTGTATTCAGCCTAATTACATCTCAGTGAGATTATTCAATATCACTAAAAATAATAGTTCCTAGTGTAATATAATTGCTGATGTGAGCGAATTGTCATCTGAAAAGAGGGTAATTATCGATATGTTGTATAAAAAATGATAGAGATATTTTTTTGTAGATAGATTATGGCAAATTATTTCAGATTCCTAGAAATTTACTTCTAGTATAACCCAAAAGGAGAGTGGATTTAAAACACAAGTCTTTAATTTCGATGTCGAGTTATTAATGCTATAACTCGGTGATTCTACACATTGAATTACATTAGTGGATAATTTAATTTATTAAAGAGAAAGATTAGAATTAATTTCTAGCTTAGTACATCTAGATGTGTAATTTAAAGTACAACTGCTTCCAAAACTGGACATTTTAAAGATCTATCTACAGGACAGATTTAAATCTTGCTTTGTCTTTAATGAAAATACTATTCAGAATAAAATTACAGTCTTTTAGTAATGGTTGTAACTAAACGTTGTACAGCTAAATATGTGAGCTATTATTGTGGCGATTAAGTAGTATATAGTCTAAAAGCCTTCTTGGTTTACAAGCTTGCTATGTGACCTGCTCTGAGGAAGACAAATTTTAGGGATGTCTGAGTTCTAAGATTTTTAACTAAATGAAGGTCCCCCAAATGCCCTGATACGGACGAGAGTGGGGAGGGTTAGCTCTCTCTCTTTATGAGTACGTCAATAAAACGAGAATTATGTGACTACTCTCGATAATGACTAAGTTAGGGTGACAGACCATGCAAGATCTTGATCTAGATGGTGTGTGTTGTAAATTAGCAAAAAGATTTTCAGCAGCTGAACAATCAGTTATTTCGTTACTCACACTTTTTTATGATTCTAGAGATAACTGAAGTAATAATCACAGACTTATGATTGCATAGGTCGGTTTTTCCGCCACATATGAAATATGGTATAGTATATGTAAGTTTTCGTAAGTTAAGATAGAAATCTCTTATTTAAGTATCAATCATTTATTATATAACATTCTCAATGGGCTGAGAATATCAATTTAATTCATCTTTTATTTGCAACTAGGATATCTGTTTGATGAATTGAATTGGTGTAATGGCAGTTTAACAGGCAACACAAAATACGGGACTGCATGTGGATGCGATTATAAAAGTAATGTTGTTCATGCGTTTTGGCAAAGTGCTTCGGCTGAGGTATATACGAAGTAATTTTTTACCTAATAACATTGTGTTATTCTATATAACATAATAGATTTGCATTAAATAGTGCAGTATTAATTAAAAACTACGTCATTAACATATATCATGTCTAATAACATTATTTCATATGAAATTCTTTAATGATCTGATGCCATAAATCGCCAAAGTAGTATTACGTTTTTATGATGATTGTAATAAACTGTCTTCAGCGTCTCCGTTTTTTTTAGTCGGGAGATTATGTTTATCTAATTTTTGATATCGCAATATGTTTACAGGTTCGCTAGTGTTTAAAGGGTAAACAGCCCATGATATAGAAAATATCATATGAATAATTACATGTTATCAAATTGAAGGTCAGTAATAGTTATGGTGTGTTTTCAATTCCATTTAGGAGCTTGGAAAACAATTTACTCATATAGAAAATGTTTCCAGTAAGGCTTTCTAAATGAGGCGAATTAATTGCTTATGGGTACTTAGAACTCAAAATCATAATCAGTGCAAACCAAACTACTGATATGGAAGCTATGGGTATGTATCAGAAGTAATTAACCAATGGGTTGTTCTCTTTAGATGGGTCAGAATAAATATCATCACCTGAATGAGCTAATAAAAACCCGACTGTGTGAAGAGGTGGTATTCATGTCAATCAGTTGACTACTTAGGACTGAAAATGAATTCTCTGACATGATTAGACGGTTGGTTTTCATAATAGATGGGATTGAGGAAAGACTGATTGATGGTCACTAATATAAGGGGATATGAAGTGGATATTATTTCAGATCAGTAGACTTTTGTATTAATTCATTAAGAATTTCATTTACTGTGATGTGATGTTATGTCAAGTCAGTATTCTTGCGTAAGTCTGGTATAAATTTCAATCAGCATGGCAGGTGTGAAATCACGTTCACAATCAACAATGCCATATGTCAAAGTATTCTTCAGAAAATCAGATGCACTACAAACAAACCAAATTCATGAATAAGATACAGAAAGATCCACGGCCTAATTGTGTCTACGAAATAAATTGTTCAGACCACGATGCAATATAAATTGAACAGAGTCCTCGAGAAATCAAGACAAGAACAAATAAACATTGTATAGATTCTGTTCGACCACCGGGAAATCCAATGGAGCTAAAATATCAAGTCACAAGATTGATTTCGGTTTCACTGGGATCATCCACAGAAATTTTAAAAATCACAAGTCTTGTAGCAAAAGCGCTTCACACAAAATGGGGTTCAGATTGGCTGGACAGAAATGAGGAGATGAGCTGAAACTTGATCAGATCCACATTAATATCAACTATTAACGTAGTTAAATTCTGAGCAATCAAAAGATCTATAACTGATTTGAAGTTGATAATATGTAAGCGTTTTGAAGCGTTAAGGGGTAAAGTGTATCAAGATCATAAAACTGAAACTAGATCATTTAAAGACTAAATTGTATGATTAAGATTGTATTTTTGGCCTAACTAACTGACCTGTGTAAATGTAAATAACACTTAACTCATGAGTGATTTGGTCTTTTGGTTTACATGGTACGTGGTTCAACAATTCACCTGGTGTGTGTGATATTTTATTTCCTACAATCTTGGAAGCAAACTGTATAACGTTTCTAAGCTATTCATGAAACGTGAACGGCGTATTTTTCTCTCAATTTTCTCCAGCTGTTTTCATTATCTTTTCCCAAAATCGACATTTTCATTAAGTCATGTTATAACGTATGACTTCTTGTTAATATATATGAACGTGCAATGATACAGAAAATACGTACGAGCAGTCTTGATTGCTATTCGGTCCTTCCTAACCCAGCCAGTTGAGTCCAAAACACAAATAACAGCCTCGGCAATATGAATCATTATTTACAAACATACTGGGTTTTTATACAAACCAAAGTAATCGATAAACTGATTATAACTCAAGAATCGTATGATCATAAATCAAAGATCAAAATAAAGCTCATGATAAGAGAAACACGAATATGAATAGTTTAGTTACGTAACAATTGTACAGTAGGAAATAGGCATAATACATTGGTCGATAATAGACCTCAGATTTACCATTCATAATTCACCAGGGGATATAACACCTCCCCTTTTTGAGAAATCCGGAGTTGATATCCGGATTTTAAATTCCTCGAATTCCTCCTCCCCCACGAAAGACTGTTGGGTCCTCATATAGCCAAGTTACTATTAATGCGATATGTTTGTCACATTTAACAGGGAATCCATTAGAACTGACGAGATCATGAGGATCGACGACAATTGATTTGAGGTCACCAGCGTTTGATTCTTCTGAAGCAGTTTCCTTGAATTTACTCGGAACCTCATTAGTAGATAATGAATCATTAGGATAAACAGTATCTATGAAAGTTGTAATGGATTCTTGATTATCATTTAATGCATCCGATATTTTTCTCCCATTTTTATAAGAGATTTGAACAGGAACATATGAATCAGCAAAATAATGGGGATCTGGCAGAACAATTAGATAATCTTGATCATTAGATTCATTAGAAAAATTTTTTGCATCATGACTGGTTTGATTTGGCGCCACTGTATTCACTATACTGCTCGGTTTGTTCCCCGTTTCTTCGTGGGCGGGTACTGCAGCAATTTTATGGGCGCTTAATAAGATATTGTCTTTCTGTGAACTGGACGATTCGTTGTTCGCACGTTTTGTTTCAGGGATAGTAGGATTTGAGCCACGTATAGGGCATGCCTCTAAAACAGACAAAACTGGACTACTGGGCTGATCATATGTGACTGCTATTGTTTCGCTTAAATTACTGCTTTTCACGGATTCATAGAGGCTTTCACTGGCATATTCATTTCTTCTGCAATCGTTTTCCAGCTCTGTACGCAATTTTGAAATTAATGCGTCAACTTCCGTTGCACCCCCAAAGCATGGGTGATTCAGCAGCTTTGCATGTAACTTGTCAATGAATTCCAATTGACTCTTTCTAAAGCGCTGCTCTTGTCGCTGGATTAGCAACTGAAATTGATCGGAAGTTAGAGCCATTTTTTTACCCCGTCGCCTGTTGTTATAACGTGTGCACTCGTAATATATATGAACGCCAATTTAGAGAGGAGTGAATTTATTGATTGGACGCAAATGATACTTGAAATCGTACGAGCAGTCTTGGGTGCTATTCGGTCCTTCCTATCTGTCTAGCCCAGCCAGTTGAGTCCAAAACACAAATAACAGCCTCGGCAATATGAATCATTATTTACAAACATACTGGGTTTTTATACAAACCAAAGTAATCGATAAACTGATTATAACTCAAGAATCGTATGATCATAAATCAAAGATCAAAATAAAGCTCATGATAAGAGAAACACGAATATGAATAGTTTAGTTACGTAACAATTGTACAGTAGGAAATAGGCATAATACATTGGTCGATAATAGACCTCAGATTTACCATTCATAATTCACCAGGGGATATAACAAGTCAAAAATAACATTGAGATATAAATAAATCCATAGATTTCTAGTAAATAATATTGTAACAGCAGAGGTTTGCAGCTCTGATGGATGCTTTTAGTATCGTTAAGTTTTCTGAGATAGACGATTTAATTGCGGATTTCAATATTTGTTCGCTTTGGATAAATAACAGAATACTGAAAGTAAACCAGTTAATAACCTGTATTCTTACACAAAATGCCTTTATTACAGTATGCCAGGAGAGCATCTGGTAACATCGTTGTGGTACTGAATGGCTCGATCAAAGCTCCATTTAATGAAAATAAGTGAGTTTTTAACACATCTCTTCTAACCAATTCATTCTTATGAACTTAATAAAAGTCATTTTGAATATCCTTTGACGTATTCATTGACACACGTTCATTGCCTAGTTAACGAAACAGTTTGCCATGTATGAGATAACATTTAAATTGAAATGACGTGTGAAGCTTAAGAATCTGCTCTAGATATCTTCCATGTTAGGAAATATACGGTTCAGTAAAGTGTCAGTTAGTTACACTCTAAAATGAACGAATTTCGCACACAAACTTCAGCGTTATTCACTTTCAATGGGTTAACCAACCCAATTAACCATTATTTACGGAGCTTGGATTCATAGTAGAAAAACTATCGGTGAGACCATAATTTATGGACGATCTTTGAGCGACGCTAAAGGGACGTTGAGAATGTTCACCTACTAACTTGGACTTTATGATGGTTATAAACCTGGTTTACATACTTACGCATGTTACTCCCAATGGAGCATAGGCCACCGACCAGCATTATCCAACTCACTCTGTCCTGCACCTTCTATTCTAGTTCTATCCAATTTTTGTTCATTCTTCTCATGTCTGTCTCCATTTCTCGGCGTAATGTGTTCTTCGGTATTACTCTTCTCCTTTGACCCTCAGGATTGCCTTGTGACGCAGTTGGGTGATTTTCTCCATGTGTGTCCTAACCACTTCCAGCGCTTCTTCCTGATTTCTTACTCCGCTGGAATCTGGTTTGTTCTCTCCCACAGTAGGTTGTTGCTGATAGTGTCTGGTCAACGGATCCGAAGTATTTTGCCCCAAATGCCCTGATACGGCCGAGAGTGGGGAGGACCCGCCCTCTCTCTCGAAATCCTCTCACATGGCCACACGTATATAGCCTCTGCAAGGGAAGTCCTACTCACTGCCTTCTCGCGGCATTACTGTTGTTTACGAAATTGAAAGGACGAAAAGTAGATGTCCGGCACTTTAACCCGGTTGGTGGACACGGAAAGTCCACCTAGAGGAGTTATAAAACCCTGATTCCAAGTCAATGGTGCACATGGGATCCAGTGTCCTAAGGGAACAAATGGCGTATGAACCTAGCGTTGGTCACCGGTTACCATGGGACTGCATCTCCTTACGGTGCTTCACTGCTTAGTGGATCAGACCTTTAGGTCGAAGACTTGTGGTGTGGCCCCCTAAGTAAACCACCTGTTTCGGTCTGGGCACCCGTGAAGTATCATAGTCCTCACACAATTAAATGAAATGACAATTTGTTGTGTGGCACATATATATCTAGTGCCCCCTTGTACCAATATTTATGTGTTCAAATAAACAAATTTTGCGTAGACAACTGTTGATAAACACCTGTATCTTCTGGATGGTGGATAAACCCGGATTAGGAACTAGAATTATGATTTACAGTTGGTGGTTAGGGTTATGAATTAGATTTAGCGATTTCATCACGAACTGACATCAGCTGTAATGCTAAAATGACATTTATCCAAATGTATGAATAAATTTCGCGCCAAAATCCGAGACCTGTTGTCTTATATCTGATTGGTTCGTCCATAAATTTTAGTCTTGCCAAATCATCTTTGATTATGTTTTTCATACGGAGAATTTTTATGTTGAAATGAGGCTTTCCTAACAAGTTAAACATTAACTACTGAAAGTAAATAATCTTTGTGTTAAACACTTGCCATTCAAATTTACTAAAAACGAATCTATTGAAGAAATGTGTCAAATTTAATTTACAATGACCCAGTACTTTGAACAAGTCTAAAAATTAGTTATTTTTATTATTTGATTTGCATGAGGATTAAATTCATCATTGTATTCAAAACTGCCAATTGACTTTCACCAACTTATGTCACCTGTAAAACGGAAGATATATCCATTTGACTATTGAATAGTGAGTACATGGAACATCAGTTTCATTTGAACTCTATTAGAACTGTGGAATATACTTTATGAATTTTGGAGGCTTGATTAAATTTTTAATACTTGATCGAATATGCTTTTCATGTATTTCTAAGGAATTTCATAACTACCGGGTTAGCGATTTTGTAGTTAGGAAAATAGTTATATTATAAAAATGATAAACTCGTTAATTAGGTTATGAATTTTAATCAACAAATTAACTGATCCATTTCATCTCTTAAAAATTCATCCATAACAAAGCATTTAAAATAATGAATGAATAAGACATTAAATAGGAAATATCTGATATTTCCTTGAAAAAGCTTGGACCAGATTGCCAGACGAAACGTTAGATTTACTTCAAATTAATTAGCTGAGATTTTACAAATATATATGATTCCTAAATTCATTTGGTAATGTTTGTTTGAATCTTCCCATCGATGTGATAGGACTGCAACTGGTCAATCTCTTATTGGCATATGTGCATACTGTGCGTATTGCCTCGATATAGCTTTAATTCACAAGTATGGTAAACAAAGATGGATAGTGGCTAGCAGTGGAATCCAGGACGCGCGTTTCGTCTTATTTGGGACACGTCAGCTGGGTGTACCTGCATCTCAGAGTTGATGATCACTCTGGGACTCGAATCCAGTAACTTTCCTATTTAATGTCTTACATCAACTCGGCGCTCAAATCCTGTGAAACTATTCACTCTAATTTAAACAAAGATCTTATGTAAATGAATGAATAAAATAATAATTTGATTTTCTGTTTAATATCTAACTTTATTTATTGAAATGGTTATATTTTTATTACATTTTATCCTGTAAGAACTTTTGGAAAAATAGAACTACCATTGTTAAAACATCCTCGAGTACAACAATTAACAGTGAAATTAGTTCATAGTTTGGAAGATGTAAATAACCGGTAAGTTTATTTATCATTTAAAAATAAGTATCATTTAAAACTATTTAAATCATTATTTAATATATGACTAATAGATTGTAGCTTATACTGAATGGGTATGTATAATTCAGTTTATGTCAATTATAAGAAGATAAACATGTTAAAAATGTGGAATGCTCACAAACAAGATTTCATTGACATATTCACTTGGTTATAGAATACAATATAAAATTCTTTTATCTTTTAACTTGTTCAAATTAAAACAACAATAATGTAAGTTTCAAGGTCTATAAACTTTAACAAAATATAATAGTTAAATTATATAGTGTGGCTCATGTACCTAATACACATTTTCCATTCATTTGTTAGCCATATATTTTGTGTGAAATTTAACAAAACTGTTCATCTGAATAAAATAAATTTAAACTTGGAACCCAGTGATAGAAAGTCAAGCTTTTTAATCAGTAAGCCACCATTTACTACCATAGTAACAATGGTCACATTCTAGCAGAGTCGATATTAGTGACTGTTGATTACTTAAACCAACAGTTTCAGTTTTGTAATTTTTCCATCAATAGCAATTTTAGTGCAAGTGTTGTCCGACTATTATAATGGTAGTTTAGACTATTAGTGTAAGGACCTTGTCCTAATTTCTGGACAAGCTATTCATTTCACTTTCTCGACTGGTTTTGCACGCTTATCCTCCTGAGCAAGGTTAAAAAGATATGAGGCAATTTGCTCTAATCGTCCCAGTTATTCTATCGTATATTTGTCCTTGTCAATTACTGGTATGTAACGTCGATCATTTTTATACCAGTAGCCATTATAGTATATATGTGTCCATCTATTTCCTTTATTTTCTACGTAACTGATAAAAACTGAGTCACCTTTTTGTTCTGAGTTGGTATTTAACCAAACTCCAATGCTTTGTACATTCGCTGAATTTCTTATTGCTTGTCTACCATTCAGTTTTAGTATGTCTGAAATATACCTATCCTAAATACTATTCGTATTCAACTTCTGTTCTCTGTTACGTTAACTTGATTTGTCAACAGAATGTGTACGAGTTCAATGGAATCTATATATCGTTGGGGTCATCATTATTCAACCATTATAAATTCAACCAAGGACTAAACTAAAAACTGATGTATTGCTGTTAGGAGTACCTATTTTATGAGTTACATAGTAGTCGATGAATTTCTTGTGAAATATTAATTCAAGAACTTTACTTAACGTTTTAGTTCAGAATTCGGACTACTTATTCTTTGTGATAAACTTTCAAACACATGCTTCAACTTTTGAGTGAACAAATGAGCACCATAGATTCTTGCTGTAAATATCCCATTAGTTCATGAATGTATTTTTTATCAACTTTGACTTGGCTTTACATAAACATTCACACCATTTATCAGTAATCTAAAATCTCAGTATTTTCCATATGTATTTCTGATGGATTATGGTTCACAACTTTAATTTCTAGTGTTTTACAATAATTCAGTACCTCGAGATTACTCTTTCATTAATATAATATCATAGATAGGTATGTTAAGTGTTGTCTAGAGGTTTGTTTGAAATCCATAAACAATCAAATAAGTCTATATTTTGATAATTACTTAATGTACTCTGCTTTTGGGGATTCGTGATGCACTGAAGTTGTTGCTCAAATTAGAACAGTGCATATGGGGTTGATTTGAATAAATTGATACTGGGATGGATAAGGCACAATAAAGGGTATTTAAACTAAAATTTTATGATAATTTCCCTATTTTTAAAGATTCTTATCACATCACTACTCTTGTTGTCGATTTCCTACTAGACAAACGTGTGAATCGTGGAGTCTGCAAGAACTTGCAAACAAGCTGAACTCTGTACATATTCCTTTTCGTTGCATTGACGATCCTTTGTAAGTTGACAATTAACTTTAAAAAACCAGAAATTTAATAACGTTTCATTTTTTGTTGGCTTTCAAAGCGTCAAACAATACTATTGGGTAGATTTTTGCATTTTACAACGTCTCAAACAATCGTTTGTGTTTGAAACACTGAACATCTAACATCTAAATTGGGATTTAAGTAGAACTAGTTTTATCGTATACCTTAAGTTAAGGATTGTATTTTCTAAATCAGTAAGACCAACTCTACGACTTGACATGAATGACGTCATCAAAAGTGTTGGAATATTGTTAAATGGGCATTACAGTGTTTTTAAACCATATTTTCTCATAACAATTCTCGTTTATATTGTGCTTTATATTTTCAGAGAGTTCAGACATTATCAATGCATTGAAAATCCTGGCAAACAACTATGTCAATTTTCAGCTTCGACGAGGTCAAACGTCGAGACATTACTCATACTTTTTCCACTAGTCATTTGTTTAACTTTTTATACTTCCATGAATTGAAATAACTTTTCAGAACTAAACTTTGAACAGAGAAAGAGAACAATGATAATAAAGGAATAGGACATTAATGAGTTAAATTTTGTCTAACAGTGCTAAATCAGAAGTAGACCAGGAAACTTTGCTGATAGTATGCTTTGATCAAATATGAGAAATTAACCCGGCCAGATTAAAGGCGTACCGATCAAAAGAAGCTGAAAGTGTGTAAAGAATTCTCAACGAATCAGTTTACAGACAAAAGTGTCTAACATGTTCGTCTGTCACAAGTTAATGATGTATTCAAAGGTATTATAAGTGAAGCTGCTACACTAACCTCCCACTAGAACGTAGATACTATAAATAATGTCTCTATTCAGCAGTAAACGTAACAATACATCATGTGGAGACAGAAAATAACGAGCATCAAAATATGCCCTAGTTTAGGAGAGGTATAATAACACAAGGTTACTTGTAAAGTCGTGATGATATAAATATTGTTGGGATAAACCGTGGTGATAAGTGATATTAATAAATCTAACATTTATGTGAGTAGTGAAAATGAACGTTTATTGTGCACGAAGTCAGAATCATCAAGAATATTGTAAATGTTAATAGCGTGGGATGAAATAATAGGTAAGGCACTATAATGCAATATATGACCAGTAGCCTAAACGTCTAACATAATACAGATCTACAAAGTTAAAAAATTCACAGACATGAAGAATATGGCTCATCAATTTGTGGGTATTCTTATTAGATAAAAAATGTAGATGAGGTGTAGGGGTCATTGTAGAATAAGAGATTGCAAGCACTGCTTTGTATACGAAGTGCAGGGTTATACAATTTGATTGCTAAGCTCTCTTCATTGAACTGTTTTTTTAAAACCCGGAGTACTACTGAGCTCACTCGTGTTATTGTGTAGGTGATTTGAAGGATGGTTCTGGTGAGTCAACGGGTGTTCTAGAATTGAGCTGCCTATTAATTAACACCTTATTTCTCAAACTCAGACAAGCTTATCATCCGAAAATAACGATGACTGATCTACGCATGTCATGTTTTGTGATTAACGCTGTTAACGAATAATCGTTTCTGTGTACAGGTCATTGTGACATGTAATTTGTTATATAAACCCCTATTCTCTGTATTTGGCCGTCTATTCTGGTTTTGACAATCAATGAGGACTGACTACATTGTCTTCTATTCTCAGTTTTCCACGTGAATTTCTCAACCACGGTAACAGGTAACTAGAGTCGAATCCATAAGTGTTTGATAAAGTTCATAATGCCTCGTATCATATTGCTCCGCACTTTGCAGCACAGTAATCTCGAATGGAAAAAAAACTAAACTCTGGTTCGTGATTTCGGCCGTTTATTTGGTAACCAATCAGAGTGAAGTAGGAATTGTCATTTCCGTCATCGTTGTAAGCATTGGCGGTTGGCTTGCCTTGTTCCCTTTTTCCGCTGTAATATTCAATCTTCCAGAGTGCTGAAATTCCGTCATCTACGTGATGAAAATGCTGGTGCTAAGGTTTTTGAATCAGTTTCGTTTCCTCGGTTGCCAGTAACTAGACAGATTTTGGATTTTGATCCATGGCCAGTTGCATTTAGTTAATACTTAGAATATTCCTCTTCTAGGACTACATAATCTTATACCGGTCGTTTTCTAATTCTGACTTCATGATATTATCATTATTATGTTGACTAAAATAAATTATACGACAATCAAGTGTATCAAATTAAAAGTGTTGTAATTGCTGTTCTGCTTGAACAGTTATGTTATTAAAATAGCCTATAAACACAACAAACAAACTATAAGCTAATAAGATTTATCTAGAAGACGAAGCATACTGTTTTCAGGCCGAAGATTACAGTCATTTAGGCATCAAAACATGGTTTATAGCACAGCTACCAGAACCTTTCTCCGTTATTCACTGATGATCTGCTACGAAACAACCACGACTGTTACTGTTATAACGTATGCCCTGAGCAGTCTTGGGTGCTAATCGGTCCTTCCTAACTGCCTAGCCCAGCCAGTTGAGTCCAGAACACAAATAACAGCCTCGGAAATATGAATCATTATTTACAAGCATACTGGGTTTTTATACAAACCAATCAATAAACTGATTATAACTCAAGAATCGTATGATCATAAATCAAAGATCAAAATAATAGAAAACACGAATATGAATAATTTAGTTACGTAACAACTGTACAATAAGAAATAGTCATAATACATTGGTCGATAAATAGTCCTTAGAGTTATCATTCATAATTCACCAGGGGATATAACACCTCCCCTTTTTGAGAAATCCGGAGTTTTAATTTTTCGAATTCATCCTCCCCCACGAAAGACTGTTGGATCCTCATGTACCCAAGTTACCATTATTGTGACATTATTTAAAACATATTCGTCGTATTTAACAGAGAATCCGCCAGAACTGATTAGATCGTGAGGATCGACGACATTCGATTTGAGGTCACCAGCGTCTGATTCTTCTGAAACAGTTTCCTTGAATTTACTCGGAACCTCATTAGTAGATAATGAATCATTAGGATAATCAGCATCTATGAAAGTTGTATTGGATTCTTGATTATCATATAATGCATCCGATATTTTCCCCCCATTTTTATAAGAGATTTGAACAGGAACATATGAATTAGCAAAATAATCGGGATCTGGCAGAACAATTACAGAATTTTTATCATTAGATTCATTAGAAACATTTTTCGTATCATGATTAGTTTCATTTGGCGCCACTGTATTCAATATACTGCTCGATTTGTCTCCCGTTTCTTCATGGGCGGGTACTACAGTAATTTCATGAGCATTTAGCAAAACATTGTCTTTCTGTAAACAGGTTGATCCACTGTTTGCACGTCCGTTTTCGGGGTTAATAGGACTTGGACCGTGTATAGGGCATGTCTCTGAAACAGGCAGCACCGGACTACTGGGCTGATCATGTAGGACTGTTACTGCTGCATCTAAATTACTGTTTTTCGCGGATTCATAGAGGCTTTCCTCTGCATATTCATTTGTTCTGTAATCGACTTCCAGTTCTATACGCAATTTAGAAATCAATGCGTCAACTTCCGTTGCACCCCCAAAGCATGGGTGATTCAGCAGCGTCGCGTGTAACTTGTCAATGAAATCCAACTGACTCTTTTTAAAACGCTGCTCTTGTCTTTGAATTAGCAACTGAAATTGATCGGAAGTTAAAGCCATTTTTTTACCCTGTCGTCAGTTGTTATATCGTATGGGCCCGTAATTTATATGAACGCCAATTTAGAGAGGAGTGGATTTTACTGATCGGATGCAAATGATACTTGAAATACGTACGAGCAGTCTTGATTGCTGTATTTTTTTCCAGAATCCCCGTCGAAAACTGTATACTTTTTTCTTTTGCGTACCAAAATCCCCGTCGCCACTGTTATAAAGTATGCCCTGAGCAGTCTTGGGTGCTAATCGGTCCTTCCTAACTGCCTAGCCCAGCCTGTTGAGTCCAGAACACAAATAACAGCCTCGGAAATATGAATCATTATTTACAAGCATACTGGGTTTTTATACAAACCAATCAATAAACTGATTATAACTCAAGAATCGTATGATCATAAATCAAAGATCAAAATAATAGAAAACACGAATATGAATAATTTAGTTACGTAACAACTGTACAATAAGAAATAGTCATAATACATTGGTCGATAAATAGTCCTTAGAGTTATCATTCATAATTCACCAGGGGATATAACAGTTACTAAGCTTTCTATAGCTTGGGATATCATCCTAGCATGTAATGTACGTGTCTGGTATAGCCCAATTTGACATAGTGAATAAAAGTTAGTCACAGCGAAATTCACAACAACCAAGTTTTTTAATAAAAAATTACATCAGAATATGAGAAATTCACTGACTACATGAACGCTGACATGACACCATTGAGTATATTTCCACTCAATGATCTCGACCAACCACCATCGAACTATAGCGGCTAAACGAGCAGAATAGAGTACGGTCAAACTTACAAAGTTGTCAGCAACACTTTTGTTAGATAAAGATTGACAGGTGCTTGCAGGCAACGTAGTGGATTCTTCTTATAGATGGAAGTCATATTTAGTTCAGCCTCTCTTTACTTGTCCTAGTAAAGCTCTTTGTATGTGGCTTCAGGGCTGAGATGTGGTTCCCCAGTTAAGTACTATGTATTTGCTGGAAGTTCGCTTTCAACAACTAGGAAGTTGGGGGTGATAACGTTCTATAGAGTAACCATATCATAGAATGGTCCTCAATATCTGATGAACGCCGAAGAAAAGAGACCTAAGGGCATCACATGACGTAACAACAGGCAATTTCTTTTGATGGGAGGTGAGTATCAACAGTCGTCCAGGAAGTATGTGGCTCATCTATGGAATTAAAACAATACTGAGAGGCACATAACGGTGAACCTTTCAAATGAGTCCAACTGCAAATATTAGGAATTGATAATAGAGACCACTCATTAACTCATCAATTATCAGTCCAAAGATATATATTGATAGCAATTTATCTTCAATAACAATATGTAATAGAATGTATGACAGTTTACAGGCAAAATTAAAATGTTATAGGCGTTTTATGGTTTACCGTAATACGTTACTCAGTTAGGTTGATACATAATATGACATAGAAACAGCGGGGGTAAATTTGCGTAGATAAGAATATGAATAATGTTATGATCGATCATAATATATAGTAGGTGCAAGTCATTCCTACAGGCATTATCAACAGATAGGGAGTGAAAATTTTTGATAGAATATCCATGCAGATAAATCAGCATGTTAATAGGTTTGCGTTCACAGTTGTTATAATCTGTTTAAAAGTGGCACATCATACAATCTGTAACCTTGACGAACGCACATCTGCTCCAAATTCTACCTTTGCATGTTACACTCGTGGCGCTGAAAACAAGAGAGGAATATGAAGACTGATTATATATCATGAAAACCTTTACGTTTTGTAGTCTCCGAATAAGATAATCTAGTAACAACTTG